AAATGTCAATGTTGGGAAACCATTTGTTTATTCATAAACCAAAAAGAACTTTTGCATTTAAAGATCAGCTTACCTTTGCACATCTCCAGAGCTCTCACTACCGAGTAGTACAGCTTCAGCTGAGAGATCAGCCATTGTACGATTGAGCTGATTGTCAAAATGCATGGCATGATGGACTGATGTGTCATGGAATTCAACATCAATGGAAGATTCCTCTTCAGTTTCGTAACAGCGGATAATTCCAACAGAGTTCCACTTCTGCAAGTCAAAGCAATAAAAAGTTTCGGCAAACAGTAACATCTGTTAGCAATTATAAAGATGAACAAAGAAATCAGCTGAAAGTGGGAAATGAACCTGTAACTCCCAGAATACTCTACCACCTGAGCTACCCAGTCCTTTGTTAGTGGTTTTCTCCTCTGTAAATATCCTTGTTCGATGGTGCTAGTCAAAGGCACCTATTAACAAATGGGAAAAACCACCAACACATAGCTGGATAGCATAGTTGGTAGAGAACCAGTACAGTGTTCCAGAGGTCAAAGGTTCAAAATCCCACTTCAATTTCTTTGTTCTTCTTCATACTTAATATATAAGCACTCACTCAATTTCCCAATATGGTTTGTTTGATATTTTTGCTCGTTAGAATGGAGTTTAGTGTTGTGTGGTTTCACAGTTACCTAACAAATTCAGTGTCCAAAATAGCCTATTACCAAATCTTCTGATCCTCTGAGTTTGACTCGCTAATCCTGAGAGAATTAGTCTTGGAAAGAAAAAGTGATGGTGACAGTGGAAGGGTAGACACCCTTACCATGAATCTACTGGATAGATGTACTGGAGTAGCAGCTGGGATAAATGGTTTTTGTAATGGTGTGGGTTTGAGCCCTTCATAAGCAGGTTGAGGGACAATACTGTCCAGAGCTCCTGACGCAATACTGACACCATCATCACCAGCACGAGAACTACCATCTAAAGATATCAAACACAAGCAACAATATGGTCAAAATGCAGATTTGTAGATGAGGGAAATCTGTAAATCATGAGAGTAGCCTGACAAGCTGACCTACTATAGATAGAAATGATGAATAAAATATATGAAAACAAGATAGATTGATAACGATACAAATGGTATCAATAGACATACGTATACCTGTGTAATGCTGTGGTGACAGAGAACACACCGTCATACTTATCCCATTTAATTTGTGTCTCAAAAGAATCTTTTACATATTTATCTTTGCAAAGACTACATGCAGGTATCAACTAACCCACTGAATTGTCATCATCTTGAATTTGCATGATGCGTTTATGCTGCATAATTGGCATGACATCATCACCATCTTCTTCTTCATTGACTGGTTTCTTTGATGCATTCTCAACTTCTGCTTGAGTGATAGCATCCAGAAAATCTTCATCAACTGCATCATCATCAAATAAATCAGCTGACTGCTTGAAAACAGGTACCTAGAAACAATGAGAAGGCTAACATTGAAACAATGAGAAGGCTAACATTGAATAGCTTGTGGCTTGAATTCAGACTGGAGGTCTTTTGTTGGTCTTGTGTGGTCTTGTGAAGGTCTTAAGTGTTCTCGACTACAAGACTGATGCCCAAATACACTGATTGTTACAATGATGGACACCTGAATGTAATTGCTAGTAAGTACACACAATGCCAAAGGATTGTAAGCAGACAGCCAATCAAGTGGTAAGAAAAACTTGGCAGATTTTTGATTTTGGAAGATTTGTAACACCATACTAATCGTGGTGACTATTCATAAAACTAGCTCTTGATAGCCTTGGTCAAGACGTTCGTCATTAGCCACACTGCATTGGTTAGCTCATTCTCCATTGTGTACATGTCCTCATGTGCATTGGCAGGGGAAAATCAAGCCGAATAGCGAACTCATGCAGCCAGCAAGTGTGTAAATCAGCTGAATCAGGAAAACGCCTCAGTCCAACTGTTTCCAGAAAGGTTTAGGGCAGTGCTCACTATGATAATAGCCCAAGTTTATGTTCCAAATACTTTATTTCAATGGTTAACTGCTGCATGCATGCTGCGTGCATTCTGTGTGCAACCACATACCCATGGTACGATCATTAAAAGTGTGTAGAACGCAGTGAATTGCGTGCGGTACAGTATTTTGAACAGTTCATTCACTAGTGAAATTTTCCCAGGTCTTGACGTCTGGAACTGTCTAACATGGAGTAATAGTCTAAGTTTCAGTGTAATAGATGGTCAGTGATAAGGCCTAAACCTAGCTGTACATGTAGATCGTCTCAGCTTGGGTCCAAGTTGTCCATGTACCTTACAGCACTGCGAGGGCTACGCGATGAACAAATTTACATCCAACCATGGAGGTGGTCCAACTCGCACGAAAGAAGTTGGTATAAATGGCACACACAAGCTTCATGGCTGCCAGCTGTTCGGGACAGAAATCTTCTATTAGCTAGTAATTACCAATGTAGATTTCAAATGAGTTTTAGTGCAACGACGCAGTTCAACCATGACTCAGCCAAGCTTAGCCAGCATTAAGTTTTGATGATGTGGTTGAATATTATGATAAGGACACAGGAATGAGCTGTGGACAATCCATAAATATGCACTCCCAAACTCATTTGGTATTCACAAACAAGCTTTGCGCAAGAAATCTTGCACAAAATAAAGAAAAACATAAGTCTTTGCGTATAGTTGGACCAAGGCGTTCATCCGGCTTCAGCTGATCTGCATATCACGCTGGCCGCGTGAGGTCACTGTTCGCCTTGATTTTTCCGCTGTACATGACAAAAACACAATGGAAACGGATAGCTAGCCAGTACGGTACAGCTATTGACAAACACCTTGACCAAGGCTAAGCTTTTGGGGTTTTTCTTCCACTTTGTCAATTACAAATACTATAGTGCAATTCTTCAAGCTTGTGTCTACGAACTTTACATTCCCAGTGTGGACTCATGATCAACGGATGTTCAAATGATGCAAGAAGGCAAGACATTTTGTTAAGTTACCCATGCCAACAGGATGTTTCTCCTTCTCACGAAAAGGAAGAGAACCAGTCAAGGAAATCATACCAAAAAATCCGGCTTACAATAGTCTTCACAGTTCAAGGAAAAATAAGTATTTTTCTTCAGTGCACGAAAACAACGGAAATGTCCACACTGGGTATGCAACATAAAACTGTGTCATGTTGCTACGCTACCTGTAATTCTGTCTTTCTGTCTGGCGGTATGACATTATCTAATACACCAACTTGTCCCATGACATCAGTATATGCTATCTCATTCCCATTTGCAGGGTTCCAAGCCATGCCACTTATTGCCAGACCCTTGTTGTGTTTGGTTCTGTAAGACACACATACATGTATGGTCCCAAAGTAACATCAGAAGATTACACTGAATGAACACATATTGTCTTTGACAGAGAGCACTGAAGACCCTTTTGAGGTAGCCATCTTGAAAAGATGGCAAACCAAATCAAATATTTTAGTGAAACTATCACCGAGTCCCTTTCACTTGAGCTTAATACCAGCCCATCTCCTATTGTAGGATATTCACAAGAATATTTGTACTTCACAACAGATGATCTGGCAGGAATTTCATTTTGAAACATAAGCTCTCCAGACTCTTTCACTCATCAAGAAGGCATACCTTCCTGAACAGTAGGCTTTCAAATTATTTTGGTTCCTAAATTTTGTGGACCTTAAGATCATCATTCTATTAACTCTGGAAAAAAAAATTTAAAACTTATTTTTATAACAAAAGATCTGACCACAATACCGTCCACATGGAGATTGCATATAGCTACAAGAGTACAAAGGAGGGCAGTATGTGAAATCTGGGAAGACGTCTAACATACAGACTGCTCTTTCAACTTATATTGTCGTACCTGTCAATGCACTTTTTGGTAATGATGTCCCATATACAGATATTGCCATCTGTGTTAGCTGAAGCCAAGAATTGCCCACAAGGTGACCAAGCAGTTAATGACACAAACCCACCCACATCTTGAGGTGTCAGTGTGAAGGTTACATCCCAAGAATCTCGCTCATAAATCTGCACTTCCTTCTCAATAGGAACAGCTAGGAACTATTGCAAAAAAAATAAATAAATTGTTTATATTGCAATGTTAAAGATGAAAGGGCAAATCTATTCAAACGTGATCACCGAGAGTAGAACAACCAGATGGACAACACAATCTTCTACTACTGCTTAACACATTGACTGTCGACTATGAGACCAATTCAGTGATGGATGTACTGGATTTTGACCAGTAAGAATACGCTGCAAATGCTGTAAAGCCTTACTGCAACACCCCTACCAGACTGGATGTTTTCCAAAATCAGAGAATTTGGAAGCCTAGGGGGATGTTCGGTATACCCGAATGTTCGGTATGGCAGTATTATAGCAGCATTCAACTGTAACAAGACAAAGAGATCAAGTGACTCCTCATTGTTTCTGAGGAAGTTACACTTCAAAAGATTCATTTTCACAGTAAAACTCACCTCTCCTGACTGTGGTTTCCATGACAACCTGCACAGTGTTTTTGACAAGCTAGAAAGAAACAAATAAAATAATGATAATGTCTTTTTGTTTTGTCTGTTATACCTGTGGTAATAGAGCCACCCATTGGTGTTATATGAGTACATAAACACGTATGGGAACCATGGCTTTTCTCTTCATATTGTCCGTGCCAAAGTTTGTTTGTACATAGATGAAAAAGAAGCACCCAATGTCGTTTATACTGTGAAACTCTAAATACAAAAGCAAATACATGTACCTTCTCCTACAGGTTGTCACTGTAAGGCTGAAAGGTTACAGGAAAGGTGTTTTCTGTCATAGGTTTTGCTCTCCAAATAAAAAAGTGCTAAAGCTCTGGTCAAGAAGCGAATCTGTGAAACAGTGTTAACAGAACCTCCATAAAGAGAACACCCATAAAAGTGAGCCAAGATAAGACATGACCCAAAAGTCCTCAACCTTCCAAAAACTGAAGAACCGAGGACTGTTTATGTTTTTGGAAAGCATACCTGACATCACTGCATTTTGGTATGAGTGACACTGATTTTTCCCAGGATTGATCTGCAATGTTCCAGATTTTAAGTGTTCCATCACAGCTTGAAGATGCCTGTTAAGAAATGCAGACAGTGCTATGGTTTAAAACCGTCATGTACAGCATGTCTTTTTATCAGATTTTATTTTTCAACAAATATTCTGAGGACTACAGTGTATGTGGGAAAGAACATTTGTACAATTGGTGCATTTCTAAGGTTCTGTACACTCTTTGTTTGAAGCCTTTAACCTGAACTGTGTGATTTTTATAAACCTTCAGTTTAAGGAAATCAAACAATGGGAGCAAATCACTTTTGACCACTATGGAAACTAATGAATTCAATGAGTTGATAAATGCATGATAAAACAAGCTTTTAACCAGAAATGTTCTTTGTAACTCTGGTGACAAGGGTGTCATATCCTACAAACTTAGCAATTTCTTTATCGGCACACAAAAAATATAGAAATCAAATGAATTACTTTAAGTAGGAACCCAGTGTTACACTCTGTGTGCTTAAACTTTCCTGGATATACAGGCTGTAAAAGGTAACAGTAACTTTCTTCTAACATCCTCAATTCTTCAAAATCTACTGGAACATCTAGGTGAATTTTGAATGAAAACAGATGGTAGGGTTATGCAAAGCTTCTGGGACCTCATCATTTGTAATGACAACTTAAAAACAAATATGAATAATTTTGAAATACTTACAATGTATTCATTTTTAGGATCTATTGCCACACTGAGAACAGGTGCATTGTGGCCATGGAAGGATTTCTGATTAGTGCCCTCAATATCAATGCATTTCATGGAGAAATCACTGTAAAAAAGGGGGAAGACACCAAGATTTGGTCAAAGCAGATGTTCCCCATGTAAAACAATCCTGATGCCATGGGTCTTTGGCTGGATTCCATGTTTTCATCTTGTGTGCAGGCAAATGTTTATTACACTTGGGTCAATTATATTACCTTCTTGATATAGGTTAAAATAACCATGTGAAGCATGGGAATTATGAGTATGATGAAGAATGCACTCTTGCTAATGCAGAGGTTGCACTCCTGCTATATATGCAGTAAGGAGTGAAGTAAGACACCCAAACACTGCCTTAGAGGATTTACATGTATAAAACCACGAGGGGAATTTTCCATGACTTTTGTCAAAACAGTTAATTAACAGACAATTTCTAATGAACTTAGTCTATAATGAACAATGAAGACATTTAGATAAAGTAAGGTACCAGTATCAGCAGATTTTTGAAGAAAAATGAAGAATTAAAGTGTGAATGCCAAAAACCTGATATACATGAATGAAATTAACAACCATTTGGTGTAACAAGAGACAATTGTATTGGAAAGGATCATTATAGTAATTCCATGCAAAAGTGACAAAAAAATGGAAAACATAGTTTTGAGCTACTTTGCAATACTGCAGTATCTCTCTTCATACACATGTATATGTAGCATAACATTCCAATGGACGGCAGACAACTTACATGTAGATAATTCTTCAACAAAATCTTTTGAGTTTACCTGGCACCGGCTAGCAACTTCTCACCATCTTGACTCAAACAGAAGTGGGTAACAGGTGCAGTGAATCTTGTCACAATCCCATCTGGGCTTCCCTCTGGAAAAGTATGAGCCTGAATTGTGTTGGCTTCAGAGGCTGTGTACAGTCTGTTGTTCTGAAGACAAAAACCACAACACGAATGTCAGACATAAAACAGCGAGGCATGCAAAGAAGGATCATTGATCTGTTTCTACAACCAATAAGGTTTGTATTAAGCCAAAGTCTGACAAGAATTAGTTCAAACAACCAATATTCCAATGGAGGCCAAAAATTGTTCAAATTTGTACTGTGAATAAGGTTTACAATGTGCCGAGTTCCTATATTTTTGTTTAATATATTCTTGATATAAAACGCAACTAGCCAAATCCCCATGGGGTCATTCTTGACACACTTTTATTCTATTAAATACTCGTGATATAACCATCCGAGGCTCCATAACTTGTGTCTATGATTCATCCTGTGTGACTTCAGCCTGATATTTAGGAATTATAGCTGCAATAGAAATCAAGAAAGATCAGTATATTAGTTTCCTATTCCCAACTTTCCTTTTTATGCATACCTTCAATGCAATAGCATAAGCAACATCACCAACACTAACAGACTCAGGATCATCATCGTCCATACTCTTCCATATTCGAATATCACCATCACTCCCACATGTCAGGATATGTTTCCCCGTCTCCTCATAACAGACATCAGTATGACCTTCACTGTGACCCATCCTCATCTGTTGTTTATTCAGAGGCATCTTGACAGATTGGCGGATGAAAATTTACACTAGAATGGGGGGACAAAATGTACAGAATATCCTGAGAAGTGACAGGTTTTTTAATCAGTCATTAAAATGTTTCATCCTTTATGACATCAATTTTATTGATCATATGCTGCTTTGTTTTGCACCTGTTCTTATTTACCCCTTCTGTTGATTGTAGGAGGTCCAATAATATTGTGATCCTGGGCAAATCACTTCGCCCCTATGTGCTTCTCTTCACCCAGGCGGAGTATATCAGTACCTACATGTATGAGGGAAGATATTGGTATATTATGTTTATCTACTGGCGCAGGGGGTGTAGTCAAGGCATTTACTTGGGGGAGGGGGGGGGCAGGTGTGCCAGAGTCACTTTGCTGACTTGTAACTTGTTCCCCAACCTTGTATCTTGTAAAATTCACAAAGTGCAGAAATTGGACATCCGTGGTTCTACATGTACTCTATATTTCATGCTTCGGGGGAATGCCGACGGCCAAAATGTATCATTTACATGTATGTACCAATTTTGGATTCACTTGCCAACTAAAGCTCTATTTGCCTACTGGGATTGATTATTGGAAGGGTGCCACAACCTCCCCCCTACATCCCTCCAGTCACTACGACCCTACGTTTGCACCTGATATGACAGAATTGGGCTATTATACTCACAGGGAGTTGAAATGGTTTCAGAAATGTTCGGATGTTGCCGCCCAATATGCAGGGATGATATTTTGCCACTTTTGGTTTACAGATACTGAAAGATACTGTGAGATCCTGTGTGCCTTACAAATGCTTTGATATTATTATTATTATTATATTAAGTATACATGTACTAGTAACCATTGCTCCACATGTTTGAATCCTTGGGAAAAATTCTCCAATTTCAATGAGCCTTACCCATTATTCCAGAGATAAAACTGGCTTTTACTGCTATTCACATATCTGCCATTCACACTGAATGTTTAGAAGGTCCCTGAAGGTGATTTCACGTAGTCAAGTTCTAAAGATATCCTACCTCAACAATGCAGCGGGATATGGAGTCACAGTTGACTACCCACAGTAAATATGTTCATCTAAATGTTTGTCTAACAACAACTGTCTATTCATTGTGCATTCCTTCATTCTCAAAATCTGACTCCTTATCCACGTAGCGAAGCTACACAGTAGTGCTATGAACTTCATGCTGGGTTGTCAAGCTAGCTGTTTACGCAAGTTTAAAATGTTGAGAAATATGTACTTCAAGGAGTGATATTTTGCAAAGATACGCTTAAACTGTTGTGAGACTAATAAAGTGTCTGTTTTCCATGTAATTTGGGGATTTATTTAAAGCAAAATGGTTGAGCCGATTTGTGTGGTTCCCCGACCACAGAACTGTGCGGTCCAACGTCTGCTCTGCTCCCATGTGCAGGTGACGTGGGAGCAGACGTCGGACCCCACAGTTCTGGGGGTAAAGTGGAACTTGAATCCCACTAGTCATGCCAGTAGTAGCACTAGTAAGCTAGTAGGCCTACTGTGACAATGACACGGTAGGCCTTACGGTTACAATTGTAGGTCTAAGCTAAGTACAGGATGCGTTTCTTAAATCGAAAAGGTGTTTTCTGAATACCCCCGACGTCCGCCCTGGAGCGGGCCGGACGTCGGACCCCACAGTTGAAATATAACTTAGGGCCTACCTCCTCTCAAAAGCGGTTTCATCTACACATACCTCGGATGTGCCAGGGTACATTTACACAGTTACACTACAACGTAGAATTTCAACTTTTATAGATAGTAAATGGTAGTACATCATACATACATGTACAAGACATGATGGATGCGTTAAATTCCCACCCAGATTTCCCGCAAAATAACGTCATCACGCGCCAACGTTGACAAATTATAATAGAGGGCGCCCTGTACGCTGACCATGAAGCTCTATGAGTGCAGTGTTTCAATTCAAGGAAAATACTCCGCCGGGGGCGCTTAGAAAGTAACCCTACCGATTCTTTCGAAAAGAGGGGTCTATGTGGCCAAGAAATTGTGGAATTGTGAAAATATGGCCGAGAATCATCTCTGTAGATTCAAGAGCATTTATCTGGGGAAAAGCAGACAAAAATGCGATTGAAAATTTGTCAGAAGAGGCCATGAAAGAAGGGATGCTGAGAAAACTTGGGAACATTTACTTTGTGGGGGCGAGCTTGTTTGAATTTAAAATTCATCGGTTAACCTACTAGAAATTGAAAATCAAATGATATGCGAAGGACCAAACAACGCATTTTTTTGTTTGAGAGGCATCAGGGACTTCAGTTGCCTGCCTGGGGGTCCAAACGTTGTTGATTTTACACAATATTCAATGGAGCTTGAATTAGTTCAGTGCTCCCCTAGGGTTGCACTGCACAAGATACGCGCCCACAGTACTAGAAAACAGTGCAAAATCACACTAAAATAGCGCCGTCTGTTGACTCTCGGGAAGAAGTTGGCCTCCGATTTTCCCGCCACTGAAAATTCTAGATTAGGGCCAGAAGTTCACTTTTCGTTTCAATTTTATCGGGGCTAGCCACGCGATTTTTTAGTTATTCGCCCTTCCTCGAAGATGCCCGGTACCCCAAAACAGTAATAACACTATACGTTAAGTTCTGAATGTAGCCGCCCGCGTCTATCCAAAAGGGCCCACAGGTTGGGGTGTTTTGTGAAAGAGATACCCCAAATTGGAAACCAACAGTCCCAAATTTGTGATCTATAGATATATCTCCATGGTCCCTCCTGACTATGGCATGTCTTATTGTAAAAACCCAGCGCGATATCAAAATATTAATGAACTCACGTGAAGAAATGCACCGATTTGGTGGAATGCAGTATGACGCCAAGTGAGGGCATAATGATGAACTGCGCCATACCGAACAGACTGTGTCCGATGGGCCGATCAACGCCGAGTGGATAACCCCTCAAGATTGTTGCCCTGGTTCGATTACCAGCCCCAGGACGTGGTCTCTCCTGTGCCTAGAGGATTTTTTCTCCGTGTTCTCCAATTTTTTCCTCCTTCCTTAAATGTGACATGTGTGACAAGTTGATAACGAAAATCAAAAGGGGGGAAGGAGAAGAGGAGTGTTTTCCCTTCTTTGAAGTCTGCAGCAGTGCATCTTATAGGACACAGGGCAGTTTTTAAAAATTACCATCACAATTTAGAGGTGTTATTATTACAACCAAACCTATAAAGAACATCAAGTAGTAGATAGTTATGGAGACCGTGACGATTTCCCGTTTTTTTTTGAACTTAGAGAACGTCGAAAACTCTTTCCGAAAGGTACCAAAAGGTACTAAAACTAAAATAAGAAACAATTTCGGCACAATCACAAGATTCGACTCAATTAAGTCCCTGCTAGCGCAAACGAATTGAGTCCCTCATCAGAAGACTCGGCCTTGGAATTAAGGGCTTGTAAAACTCAAGTACCAAAAACTCGAACCACGGATGATTCACACCACGGATGTTTCTGTGTGATTCACTCCTTGTGGACTTTGAGTAGAGCGCCACCAACTATCCCATTAAAATCAGCCCTATTGAGTTACTTCATTTTCCTTCCTACATTGTTAATTTAAGTTCCTTCTTTTCAACATAACAAAATCATTGTTTCTGAATTCAAACACTTTTGAATGTTGACGTTTTGTTCTGACGTCAGTGATTCTAGTCCTTCCCAAGCTAAAATAGAAATAAAAGCCGAAATTTCACTTGTTGATTGGGATCAGATGGTGTTCGAGTATGTGACTTGTGTGTTACTCGAATTGACCAAGAATAAATTCAGCTTGTCTCGACAACACAGGGTGACTCGACCCTTTGGACCTAATGACTCTACTAAGTTCAAATAATCTAAGTAGGCCTACTCGTGTGGAATCCTTTACAACATTGACACATGATAATAGTATTAATACTGTTCATTTTTGAGATAACTGTACCGGTGGAGTTTTCTAAATTGCACTGTTTGTTTGGAAAATTGATTTCAGAAACTTAAGTCGCTAACACTGCGATTTCTGCAATCGACACCTTAGCTGCTTTAGTGGAATTTTTTTCATTCAACGTAAAATACGAGCTGGAAAAATAACAGCTCTCTACCTTAGTGATTGTGAATGCAGCACGTACACGTAGGGCCCGGACGCCCAACACAAGTACAAATACAGGTATGCTGTCATTGAGGTTAATTATTCACGTGACGTCATTACTTCCGATTTCTCAACGGCAGTGACCGCATGCAATAACCAATGCATAGTTCGATCATACGTGTACATGTACAGTATACGTGTACGTATATTGTACTGTACACATGTACATGTAATGTTTGTGTGCATCTATATCTACGACCTGTGTACAATACACATCTCACATGCTCGATATGTGGCGGCTGTTCCACCGGCCCTCCCACTATTCCTACTAAAAAGTGGCAGTTGGTGAGTATTGTCTTCGCTTTATCATGTATATTTGAGCGATGTTGGAAGGGACATTCACATCTGTAGTCCTAGGGGTGTAAGTTTGGCTTCCATACGTCTGTGGTGTACGAAAATCTAACTGTTGTGGGCCTGCGTGTTGTTGGTCGAGTGAGGACACTGCACTTGGGCATGTTGGGGGACGATTGGCGTGGAACGTTACTTGATAGTGATACTTCTTTTCTTGCGAGTAAGCGGTTGGACGAGTAGCCTAGCTCATACATGTACGTATAATAGGTCTACATTAACTCTGGTATGTATGATCTCGACTCGTGTCGTGTTTGTAGTCATGGTAGAGGTAACTAGTCAGTGGTAGAATTGGTCCCGCCATGATCCCACAATAACCACAAAACCATACGTTGTCCTTGCTCCTACTAGTACCAGAGCATGTACACAGGTAGAGGTTTTGTCATTATTTATTACCACCTTCCTTATTCCATGTTGTTACCAAGTTTGTGGTGTTCCATATCTTTAACAAAGTCCACTTTTACAAAAATGCTGACTTTGACCTTGAGCACTTTTGATAATATTTAATTTAGGCTAAGTAAAAACTAGAGTTTTCTTACCCTCATTCAGTGAACAACGACAGCTCAGTTGGGTCATGCCACTTTACCTCTAGTATAGGTTACCAGACCCAGCCATTGTGAAAATACTCAGATTCAGAATTGGGGTTTGTTGTCCGCTACGCTCCCATGAAGTGCAGCGGATGCCGAACCCCACAGTTCTTGGAGTAGGCCTAGGTTGATGGTCTTCCATAGGTCTTTTTTTTCTAATCCCTGAAAAGGTAGAGAGTTATCTTTTTATTGTTTTAAATTGAATTCTACATTTATGTGTAATTGCAGGATACTTCATTTTGTCATGCTTGTTCTCTGTAGGAAGTGAAGTCTGAAATCGCTCTTGGTCTGAATTCCATTTCATGAACATGAATTCACATCAACAGTTTTAGTGTGGAACTAGGTGAAAATTGTCACAAAATTTCAGAACCCCTCAAAAACGTACGACATACATGTATGTTCAGTTGTTTGGCCAGCACAGCAGCAGATTTATGCATAATGTACATGTATGTTGCCTTTTTTGCGTAGTGTACAAGTGTGATAGCTGTTAAAAGATGTGTGTGAGAATAGGCCGATCGTCCCCAACCGTGTTAGAAATTGACTACATTGTACATTTTACGGAAACTTTACACGCCCCACCCACATTGTAGGAAATAGTTAATGATACGTGTAATTTCATAAAGCCCACATGTACATGTATATGTATACATGCACTGAAGTAACTTTCCTAGATTAGCCAAGGAACAGTTTATTTAATACTGTATTTGATGCGTGATTTTTTGCATGTGTGCTTGATGAATGGCAAAAGTAGCAATAAGCAAATGATGATGATGAATGGACCAGTGTCAGTTCTATATTTAATCGTGAATATGTTTGAGGTACCGTACATGTATGGTTATTTCAAATCATTGACAGACTTTCTAGATTATGTGATTAAATATAATTTCTTTGAGAATAACCAAGCTTTGTTTCCCAGTGTTTTTTTTTACAAATCTAATTTTTGATCAAAATATTCAGAAAAGAAATTTTAGAAATAGCTCTAACATTACCATAGATGCCGGTTACCTTAAGTATGTCAAAGGTCTGGAATACGTGTACCAATAGTACCATATTTGGATGGCCTATTACATGTACGTCACAAATCTTGTGCAATCTGACCAATCACAAGGCTTGTTCTAGCAGCCAGAAATGGATTTTTCGGGTGTTTCCATGTTACAAGGTGCTTTTCTTAAACGTTGCAGCATGTGGAGCAAAAACACTAAACCAAAAATTTCCATTACAAAAATTCTATTGGGTGTGCAAAAAACCTGACTACAGATACAGACTAGAAGTGAAATTCTAAAACACATTTGTACTGATGGGATTTAAAATTGTCATTGCCAAGTTGAGATATTCAGAGTTTAATTTGGACAAAAATTGCTGTTTTAGTAGGGAAAGGTCACCATACCCATATGTGGTAAAACTCTAGACTGAAGTTATATTTTCTTAACCATCGATATAAAATAAAGTATCACATAGTAAAATATTTTGATATTTGAAATGAATTGTATTTGCTTAAAGAATTGTCTCAGTGCTTACGAATGACATTTTTCTTCGGGTGTGCATTATTGAGTGTGTACAAGCAGTCTATACAATCTGTGGGCAAGAAATTCAAAGCATGCTGTGATGTCATGATTGTACAGTGGTGTCAGTCCCTTCTCCAAGCCGTTGCAGGAAAATCCAATTTCCTTGCTTTTTGAAAGATTAATGACTTCTGGGAATAGGTCCTCACGTTACTGTGATAAAATGAAAGTTGCAGTAAAAAATTTGCATGTAAACAGTACATGTACGTATGTGCACCCTTAAAATACTCTGATGCTTACAGTGTCATCTGGTTTGTGTTTTGAAATTTCTGAAGGATTTTTGTTTTTCATTTACTTCCAGGTTGCTGTCTTTAATTTGATGCTACAGATAAATCATCATGGCAACTAAAAAGAGGGGTCTACAAAGTTCCAAGCAAAGATCCAATTCATCTCCAGAGTTACAGCTTCAAGTCGTTGATAGCAGCTTCGGAGACAGACTTGGGCAAGTCAAGAAGAATGCAGACAGAGTCAGGAGTGGCAATGAGAATAATGGATCTTTGCAGCAGACACTGATGGCAACTTCTGGTGAGGGCTCCAAACACATAGATGCCTCAGAACACATCAGCAGAATCTCTAGTTTGACCACCACTTCACAGTCTGATGCAGTTCTGTGCAGTTCATGCGGCAAGACCACCTTTGGAGGTACAGATAAGACATCGCAACCGGCAGTCAGGCCTAAGATTCGCAACTTCAAGGCAAAGAGCTTATCACGGCAGAGGCAGAGACAGCCTCCAGCAGATCGTGTCATAATGACTGTGGATGACAATGCCGACACTGTGCACTCTTCAAGCTCAGAGACAGAAGAAGCAGCAGTTGCCCCTAAACAAGCTAAAAAGCATGGCTTCAGTCGTGTTGCTAGTGCACTTGTTGCAAGGTTCCGACTCAAGACACAAAGGCACCATCGCAGAGGCTCCACTAGTGATTCTGACTCATCGTCAAGTACCAACGACATTAAGATTGAGTCTCCTCGCCCTCGATCTAAATCATTTAGTGGTCGAATCATGCGCAAGTTTGCCACAAAAGAGAAAGCAAGTATTGAAAGAGACTCACCCAGTCACAACCTAACAAAGAGAAAAGCACACTCCCATGCCAGTCGCATCCAGTCCTGTATTGGAGTTGTCTTTGCAGGAAATGCAGTGGCAAAGCAGAAAGGAAAATCCTCCAAAAATGAAAATGATTCACAGAAGGCAAGGCGATACATCCCAGTTATCAATCTAGATGACTTCAATCCAGACGATTATCCAATTGAAAGCGAGGATGACATTCAGAGAGTCCTACGTGAACAAGAGATCCGTGATGGTGTGGACCCACCTCCAGGTTTTCAACCCCATTTTTTTGCTGAGGCCCAAACACATTCGGAGCCATCTGCTAAAGTGACTGATACAGAAAAACCATATCATCATACATGTACAAGTAAAATGAGGGAGGTAACAGTTACAAATAGTTGTAGTGCCTTAACCTCTGTAGCTAGTCCTGTAGTACATGGGCCAAGCCACACGACAGCAAATATCTATGACCAGTATGGTTCCCTAACACCAGAGGGAAACTACATTCCTCGGACAGTGCATACCCAGATTGACTACATGCACTGTTTGGTGCCTGACCAAAAGAGCATCATTGGAAGTAGCTTCTACTGGGGTAAAATTGATCGATTTGAGGCCGATCAACTTTTAGAAAACAAGCCAGAGGGGACATTCTTGTTGCGAGACAGTGCCCATGATGAGTTTGTCTTCTCTGTCAGTTTTCGACGGTATGGTCGTACTCTGCATGCTCGGATTGAACAGTGGAAACACAAGTTTAGTTTTGATGCTCATGATCCAGGGGTATACTCTTCAGACACAATCAGTGGTCTACTCAAACATTACAAAGATCCTACTTTCTGTATGTTCTTTGAACCTATGCTGACCATTCCACTACCTAGACCAAATCCACCTTCACTGCAGGAACTTGCAAGAGCCACAATTTGTTCATATACTACATATGATGGTATTGCACATCTAGCATTGCCACGGACATTAAAAGAGTACGCACGGGAATATCATTACAAACAGAGGGTTCGTATGAGACGATTTGAGGTACCGGAAATGCCAGTAGTTACAGAACAAAGGGTGGGGGTCATCACCAAAACATGCATTTCCCGGTAAATAATTTCTCACAGCTTATGTTTCAGCAAACAAGGCAACAGAAAACAGAGGCTTGGCCAGGTACATGTACATTTAAAGAACAAACTGAAATCTATTTTGAGTCTTTGTGAGAAGATAAAAATGGTTGACTGTATACAAAAAATTAATAAAAAAATACATTAGTTTGCTTCTCATTCACGTTTGCTTCTCATTCACTTTGCATAATGGAACTTGCTTGATTTCGCTCCTGTCCCTGTCAAATAAAATATCATACATGTACATGTAACTGTATGCGTGTGTACATGTCCATGGTTTGGTTTCCAACTGAAAATGTTTGGAGTGTGTCAAAAGATTCTTGAGTAGACAGCAATGCTACTAAACATGTGAAACCTTTCAGTGAAATTTCTTGGTGTATTTTGTTCGATAAAGAGAAAACCTGGAGATGGAGCTTTGTCCAATTCATGTTTAAATATGCCAACTTCAAATTGTCAAAATATTTACATACATGTAGAAATGTAGGCTTCTACATGTATTTGGCACACATCTAGCAGCATTTGAAACAGTGTCCAAATTTGTCTTCTGCTAAATGAAGGTGTCTTGAGTTGCCGAAGCTGTAAGCTTTTACATGGACATGTGTACAGAGTATTCAAGAACACCAAAATATGATACCACACTGGCTAATTGGTCAAAATTTCACCACCTACATGTAGTATTGCAATGCAAGAGTTTAGGCAGTGGTGTCTTGGCAATTCCACTCCCACAGAAAGATACATCTTGCTTGTGGGGCTGTTTTCAAATGCCACACACATTAACTGTATTATCTCTGACTTTTAGTGTGGAAAAGATGTGTATTCATGATTAAAATGATACATACATGTATTTACTGTGACTTCAGTGACAAGAAAAATGTATGTATTTGACTCAGTACAAGAATACCTGTACTTTTAAATGCTGAATATTTTGTACCCATAGGTATTTGATAGTACAAGTTAATATATTTTTGAAATGAATATGATAAACGGGTATTAACTGCTGTACACCATTTACGCTGTCCAAGTACATACCGTACATGTATTGATGATTTCTACAAAGATGAAATACAGACCTACAGTAGGAACAGGCAAGATGATAAGAGAAATTGTGTTTGTATGATTGCCAAGGGTACGGACGTGTGCGTATCCATGACTTACATTTATCTTCAGTGCAAAAATTATGCAAAACCCCTCTTACTGCAATTTTACATACTGTACATGAACCTGAAATATTTCTGCACATACACTACTATGTATGGTACGTTTACATGTATGTTTTTGTATGTGTGTGTACTTGTATGCATGTGACTCTGATTTACAATGTACAGTGAATCAGTGCAAGAAAATCAGTTGTGTGGACCACACGTGTTGAAATTGTACACACTGTGGATATAAAATTGTATGGGGACAAAATTTTATCCACACAACTGAATTGGTTACGACTTCCCTAACAAAAAGAAATTGACCCCTCTAAACATACATTAACTGAACAGTACCTTGCTGTGGCTTTGGAGTCATTGTATGGTGACAGTGCCTGGCCCATCATGGCCATGTACCTACACATAAATCTATTCAGTTGTTGAGACATGATGTAGCACCACTGTGCATATACACTGTTCAGACTTGTAAAAAAAACATCAATAAGTCTGCAGCCTTCATATTCTCTTGCCTGACCTTTATGTAGAGTAAGAGTTGACAGTGGCCATTAAGGTATAATGTACATGTACTGGTACCTGTACAAATCATCACAGCAATGTACATGTACGTGTACATTGTAGTGTGCATACATGTACTGTACATGTACAGTGTGTGCATGTGTTGTGCCATATTGGACAAACAGTGGACTTGCACTGTTCAAGTTTGTGGCCTTGGTGTTCAGTGTCTGGGCTAGAGTTGACCATGGCCTGAACAAAGACAAACCATTCTAAATTGTGTTTTGTGTACAAACTATACATGTACATCTTTTCCTTCCTCCATGGTAGAATTTACATGTAAAGCCCTTCATAACAGTTCATGTACTGTACATGCATCATTTTGTTCAGAAGTATACAGATTTTGCTCTGCTAAATCAAAATAGTTTTCTTATTGGAGAGCCTTTCTCCAATTATGTGGGAATTTCTGATGTAATTTGATACAAAAAATGTGTGCATGTAGAACACTTTGTGTACTTCATAACATTATGTACAGTTTTTCTCAAACTGCCACCGTATGTGTACCAGATAATTTGTATGCACATGCAGGGCAGACACTATGTAAATCAATGTATGTATGTACCTGTATGTAGTTCTTTGCAGTGTGTCACATGCAGGATTCACACATTTGGTAGGAATGTATTGTGGATTTGATTGTACAAAAATTTCAGTTATTAGACATTCAACGTTGTTCGTGCCATATTCCCTGGGCAGTGTAAATTATTTTTTCCTCATGAATGTTGAATTGAAATGGTTAACCTGTTGTTCTATATTCATTGAACATGTACATGTACATGTATGGTAAGGTTTTGCCTTAGTTAAATTGTGAGTACACTGAAAGATCCCTGGTTCACACACAGGAGTCTTTTTTGCAATATGCGTTATTTGACTTGTCGGTTTTTCCAAATTAGAACAAAATGGACAATTTAGGACTGCATGACTGTTGTTGTGCACTGTCATTTTTGTTATTAGAGCTCATGTAACATCTGCATGAATACAAGCTGTAACACATTTTCAGACAACTGTACCACTTCCAAACAGAGCCATTATTATGGCTACATGTACTGGAGGTATGCACATGTACTCAGGTTCATGTGCCTGTTTGGATATATACATTGTTCATGTACAAATACATGTACAGTGTATGTGTTTTTTCTCTTTGCTCTGGGCATCCTCTAAGGTGGCTGCTTGTTCAATTTGTTGGCTGTTACAGATTTTACCAGATTACAAATGTGTGGATTGATTTACCCATGAAATTAATCTACACTGTTGCGTACAGACGTTAAGACAAGGATATGTTGTCTTCCTTCAGTTCTGTAATAATTATCATATGAATGAATCCTGGGTGGTTTGGGTTATGTTCACTCTGGACATACATGTTCTGTACATGTACCTGTGTATGCACATGAAAAACATGTACATGTACATGTTTGTGAATTTCCTTGTTTCATTTACTGAGTGTTCATGTTGCAGTCATTTGGCATTACTTGTGTAGTTTTTGTTTGTGCTCATGTCTTATGGTTTCATACTGGGCAGTGTAGATTACAGAGCAGAATAAGGCCTCTCTTATGATATTGTGATTCATTTTTTTTGATCCCCCAACTAATGCCAAAGGTCGTTGAAGTTGACCCTAATAATTACAATAAACCTGAATTATTGTACACACTTCCTTACATAGTCTCGCTCTGCAGTCAACCTTTAGTAAACAGCATCAAAACATGTTCAGACTTGTCCAGAATTTGGGGATGATATGCCGACTGCTGTTTTTTTCATTTTTGTTTGCACTTTGATTTTGTTCGTGTCTAACTGATCTGTGTGGTGACTGTTCAATTGTTCTATTGTACAATACACATGCAATATCATCTTTTGGTTAGATAAAGTGATCAAAGAAATATCTGTACTAAGGGTTGTGTCCACAAGACCTTGGTAGGTTGAAACCTGCCCCTCCCCCCAAGTTGGGAAAGACCCAGATTGCTCAATCATTTCCTGTTTCAATATCTGTATTGTTGGACTTGAACAACTGAGTCCAATATTGATGCTAGGTCTGTTCAGACGGCTGTGTAAGTTCCAGAGGGTGTATTATACATTTGGAGGTTTCTTTATTTCCAATATAAAAAGGGTTATTTAGGCTTATATCTATAAATTATTGTAACTTGTGTATATTGTACAATTATACTAATGTTAATTTATATGTACCTAATTCAATTATGAAGTTTAGAATCTTGCATGCATGCTTTCACAGAATTTTTATCTGTAAAAGTAAATGTTTGCATGTGCTTTTGTGGCAGTATGCTCTGAAATGTGCATATGTAGTTGAATCAGAGTTCCTTTTTTCTTACAGGCCTATGTGCTGCCAATATTAATTGATTTTCTTACTCATGAATTCATGATATGACTGTCTGGTTAGTATTTAAATTTTTTACAAAGATGAAGGAAGCTCCTTATTCTGATTTGAATTTCACAACCATGAGAGATGTAATGGAACTTGAGTTTTTTGGGTGGTTTGTTATTTTCATTTTTAAGATTGCTCACCATCATTTAAATGAAAATCTGCAGATTTCTTTCAAATACAGCTGGGATACAGCATTTGGGGGGGTTAGAATATATCTGCTACGATCCACTTTGTTTGCTTACACTGTTTTTGTATTTTTGCAAGGACAAGTGACATGATGGAAGTTGTGTATCTGCAAAAAAAATAGTGCCATAAGTCTGATTTAATCAAATGGGTGTCATCCATAACTTGTATTTTGGCAAGCACACTCAAAAGCCTCTTTAACAATTTCCATTTTTTCCCAAGCATCCAGGAAATGGACAATTCAGGTATTGCTTATCCGCAAAAGAGTCATAAATTGATGTTGGAAAACAAAACCCTAAAAATAACTAAAGGCAAATCTACTAGGGGACTTTTCCCCCCAATTTCTGTTTGTACAGTGTTTATTCATTTAGCTATTATAGCTTTTCAAAATATGGTTTCTTGAAAGTGATGCATATTTTTGTTTTATTAAAGCTTTTCATTTCAATGTGCCTAAACATAAACTTATGCAGACAGTCCTGTGTTTACATTTGTGATATAAAGTATGCTTTTCATGTAATTGAAAGTGCTTTGTTAATGCAACACAGCAGTGAGATCCATACAGTGAGAATAGAATGGCATAAAATGCAAAACTGAAAGCTAAAGTATTGGGACTAACTCTTTGGTTGTGAGTCTGTTAAATATAATTCTAGCTTCAAAATTTAAGGTTGATATCATAAAGTAATTTGGGCAGTACATGTTTTTAGCAGAGTAATATCTATCGACACCCAGCTATTCTTGTAGTTGAAATAGAAAACTTTAAAATGCTGTCCAGAAATAAATCAGGTTTCCTCTTGAATAAAAATAAAAGTACACTCTTGTGTTCCAAATACAGGTATTTAATTAAACATTTCATGATTGGATCGCCTGTTACATGTAACATGTACATTAATACCTTTGTCAACATGAAAAATGTAGAAAAGCAGACATAGGGGCAGTTTAATTGGCTAGTTGGCTGCACAAAAATATGTACCCAGCTGAAAAATGAATTTCAAATTACCAAAAATAACTTCATTACACTTGTGATCAGACAGCCGATGTAGTTGAGAAATTCATCCACACATACATTAACTTGCCATGTTGGACGTGACTGATGGCAAAACAACCATCTGTGGGAAGTCACTACAGCTGCTAGTCAAAATCTCTGATAGACCTACTTCTACAAGCTACTCCCTGTCCCATCCCTTCAAAAGTAATTCTGATGTGGCTCCACATCTGCACATAATGTACTGTACATACATGTACGTAGACTCAAGTCACTGAAGACTTTTCAAGCTGAATTCCTTCTCTCATATATCTTCTTTGCAATGCAATGATGTCACTACTATTGACTAGTGACAAAGTAAACAGGTTATCCCTACCCCTCAGGGAATCAAATGGTTTAACTTATGCCAAGTATGTGCATCAATACTCCAAGGTATTAACAGTCTGTCTAGGTGCATGCTACACTCTTCATATTTTGGATAAATTCTGCAAGTTTTTCTTCTGAATAGTTTGTGGACAATTCTATATACATGTATATATGGGGTCCTATTTATTTTTATATATACTGTATACACTTACATGCAAGTATTGTTTCACACAGCTTCAATCCAAAGTGAATATATTTTAGTTCTAAATGTACATGTATGTATTACATCTTCCATGAGAGTGAACTACAGTGTTCAACCTAGCAACAAGGCCAAAAACAAAGTAGGGGCAAATATCGAAGACAGTAAGCCAGTTCAGTATTCCAACATTGCATGCCCAGCACGAGGCTGTTCGGAAACAGCTACACGCACAATAATCTGTCTTATCAGTGCAGCCATACACTTACTCAAGTGCATGCTTTGTCCTCAAAAAACCATGGCTTTTTGAAATACCAAACTGGCTCATTCAGCGCAATAGTACTGATAAGCTGTGGGTTTTTTTTAACCCATTTTAACACAACCACCTGCAAGTAAACGACTAGCTCCAGGTTCCACTGAATTTTCTAAATGCAATTTTACTAATTTATTACTGGAATCAGTTAAATCTGGCAATCATTGTTAGTCATTTTCCAGAAAATCTGACAAACTATTGTCTGCTTAGCCAGCAGCTTAGACAGGCAATCTTTTCATACCCTATGGGGTTTGAATCAAAATCAAAACAGAGGTTTCCAAAGCACGAACCCTTGAAGACAGAGGAAAGATCTATGGGATGAGTGAGACTTTCAGTAACAGACAGGTCACATTCAGTTCGCAGGGGAAAAAAATCCAATGAAACACCCAAGTGTAATGCATACAGAAGATCAAGGCCTTAAGGGTTCTGATTTTTCCTTTATTTGTACAAAATTCTAAGGTTTGTTCAGAAAGATTACTTGTCCTGTTTTTTATTTAACCATCTCATACATTTTATACCCCAAGCAAAACCATGCTTCAAATAATTCATGAGCATTCATTGTTACATTTATTGACCAAAAATAGTAAACTAATTATAAAATGAACATAAAAGACAATGTGAAACTAAATATTTGTATATACTTAAAGACACTTAGGTATTTTGATGGTACTAATATTGTGACAGTTGAGGAGAGGCAGATGTGTGTCCATGTCCAGGATGCCAGACTGAGACACTGCGAATTTGGTCTATTTTTCCCCAAACCTGGAAATTGATAGGGTAAAGGATCAATGAAAAGCTGAATATGGAAAGTTCTTTTAAAAATAATCTATTGGCATACTAAAGGCATGTTACACCCACCTAAAGACAGCATTTTCTGCAGAAATCTTTGGACCTTGAGATTGGGACACCATTTTTGTTTACAATTCTTGATTGAGTAAAGTCATGAACTTATATGAATAATTTCAATATAAGGCTCAAACGAAACTGTCGATTGGCTCCCTTGGAAAATTGAGGGAAAAACAATGAAAAACATAAGATATGAAAACAAAATATCCAAGACCTTCCTCTGCTAATGATTTGTGTGGTGATAGCGCCCTGTAACAGTGTACATGTACCTGTGTGGTTCATGTAAGGGAATAACTACCGGAAGGTCTTGGAACCAAGACTGCTTACAATTAACCTTGCTTAACCTTTTTTTAAGACACAACAGGATGCTGTAATATATCTTTATGGGAATTATATTGACGAACATCAGAATTGTTACCTTGCCTGCAAACAAAAAAAGAGAGAGAGAACAGAATATAAAATGAAGTATGGGCAAAGTGAATCCATCCATCCCTAGTAGTATAAACAAAAAATAAAATATGCACAATTTTTTTTTTAAAGTACCAGTAGATTGTCAAGTCTACATTTGCCCAGACTCAAATGGTTCCATGGCCTTGACATCGGGCTGAAAATCAAGTGCTTTGTATGTCACAAGTCGGAATGAAACAACTTTCCATTTATAATGAATACACTGCACGATTATCTTGAAATGACAAAACCAGATCTTATTTTGATTTGATGGCAAGAGTGCCAGGTAAAAATTCTGAACCTCAACCCTGACCATAGCTCAAGGGAAAATCAGCAATTCCTGAGTTTAGTACAATTCATACTGACATTAAATCTTTTCTTTTCGCAATTCTATTCTTATTCTTGGCTGAAGGTGACAAATAATTCATATTTGCCTTCAAGAAATTTCCAATCAAATAACAAAAGGGTAGGAAAATATCCTCTACAGATATAAAAACACAATTAGAGTTTCATTTGCAAGAACAGATGTTCTTAACAGGCTATGTAACAGAGCTTGGCATTGCAAAAGGTGTCCCTACAGGCTTGAATAGTTGGAAATAAACTTGACCAACCAGTTGCTAAAGATATCTCGGCCATTTCCGCCCTATTACAACTGAAAAACTCATAAATGTGACTGCTAAATTGAGTTCACACAAAGTTGGACAGAAAAAAATGTTTAGTATTTCCAAAAAAAGAAATGATGACAGTGGCGACAGTAATGGTGGTGGGCGGGAGACCCCATAGGCTTCTCACAGAAAATTGATTACATCCTCTGGTAGTTAAGTTGGACTTCCTAAGTCCATGTGCAAGCTAGTGATGTGAGCTTCATATCCTTTTCTTCACCCACTCTGGGGGTCCGAAAGTTCAGTGATCTCTGTCAGTTCTCAGTTGGAACCCCATCTGCAGAGTGTTGATAACATACCTGTGATCTTAAGTCCTTCGAGTCCTCCCCCACCCAGTTTTAATTTAATGATGGGGCAAGGGTTGTCCATACATTAAAAAACACTGTTCCCCCACTAGGTATTCTGAGGATATTGTTTATGAAGTATGCCTTTGCTGACACCTGTCCAAGTTTGTCATCTGTTTAAAGGGGATCTGTACTGTATGACAAGATTCTAAGGTCAAGGTCACAAAACTAGTTAAATGTCCCCCCCCCATAAAAAAGAAAGGAAATGCCTTGAAATACAGGTGATTGAAACTCACTGAGCTGTAAATTTGGAACTGCAACAAGACTCCCAAATAAAGGACATGATCGTGTAGCCTGTCTATTTTCAGGTCTATGGAGAAGTCATTTCTACCATGCAATTGCCATTTGTTATCATTTCCTGTCAATAATGACAAATTCTTTGAAAATAGCAATCTGGTCAAGTATGCACGGTGTTTGGCTCTGGTCCATTAAAGTAAAACTAAAAGTAGCCTCTTTATAGAGAATCCAGTGAGCACAATTTTTTTGCTGCATGGAAAAGTGCTTAAATTTCTCCAAATGAATGAGTAGTACAGTGCTATTTTCCTGTGGCTTCTGAATGCTTCGCCTTAATTAACTAGCAAATTTACAACAGCATTTTACAGACTCTGATCGGGCCTTCCAGTGTCAGAAATCCCTTCTCCCCTTTTCTTTGCCTCAACAACTGTTTCCAATCACTCTTACAAACTTGATACTCCCCTGAAGATTCTGAGCATAAAAAAATGCTAGAGAAGCATCCAACTCAACAACCATAAACATCTGTATATGTCACCTTGGCCCTTAAAAAAAATACCAGTGCCTTATATCACTTTTTTCATGACAATTTCCTGCTTTCTGACTTTTTAAATGTTTTTTACTGGTAGCCTTGGGATGCCTCAAAGCTTGCTCCTCTAGCCCTGACCTGATATTACATGTGGGGACCTTGATTTATCATGTCACAGAGGCATGCTTGTATGAGGATTGAAGACTTCTGTGAAGCAATAGAACACCTTGTTGTGAATGGCGGTGTGGGAAGGGGTACAAAAGAGGGAACAGGAGATTGTCCAGATGGGAGTAAGAGTGAAGGAGGGCATCTTAAAGAGGAATGATGATGAGATGGTTAATACTTCAAGCTACACAGATGACATCAAGTAGTTCCATGTGTATTATATTGTAACACAGAACTGTCTGAATGTGAGCCACTAACTTGCTATCAGTAGCCAATAATAGATAGCTCACTGATTCTTACCAACCTTAAAATGGTCGCAAGAAGTTGCTTTTAGTTTCAAGTTTTAAAATATACATGCAGGGTGTCAAGGGTCTTACCTTTCCCGCATCACACCCCTTGGTGGATTGTCAATGTGCTGTTTTTACTTGTACATTTTATGCATGCATATAAACGTTTTTAGACTGCAGTTTTGTCTATCTGTTCATCTGTCTGTATGTGTGTTTCTAAGTCTGTTTGTCTATACCTCTCTGTCCTGGCTTTCATACTGTTTGCATCTGTACCACTTGCATCTCTCTGAGTGTCACCATGTGTTAGTATATCTGTCCATCTGCCTGTCCATCCTCATTTCTCTTGTTTAATTCCTTTTGTCTGTTTTAATTGTTTCGTCTGTCTTTATTAACCAGAATAGGCCAATGTCTTGTCTCATGTGGGTCCATTCATTTGTCCATCTGTTGTGTGTTTCCACACTGTTTAAGTCTCATCTAAGTCTCCTTACTGTGGTTCATTTTTGTCTTTTAGTTGTTGTCATCACACTGTTTGAATTGATTGATGTTCTGTGTCTGTCCATCTACATCAGCTTCTTTTGACAATTTGATTAATGTATACCTATTGGAAATTTTTAAATTTTTTTAAGTGCCTCGAGCATGAATTCTTTGACAGATTTGGCACTATACAAAACGTTGTAATTATTACTTACGTTTATAGTTTCTTGAAGGTAGTATAAAAATAAAAATTGAAACATACGAGTAAACATACTAAACAGTAACAAGACATGAGAGGAAAATGACTCTGAAAACATTCATCACCTGAGCAGGGTTATTTATATACTTCTCACACAATTCACCTGTTTGCTGTTCCATTTCTGTAAAGATTACAGAAATGAATCTACATGTATTTCACCTTGATAATCATCCTTCATGACACAACAATGAAATGAAATTCAGAAACTGAGAACCAATACCCTTGATAACCAATGTTGTAAAAACCTTCATAACTGAGTTAGCTTGTCTCAAAGGAGGAAAGCAGGCATGAACAGCCATGCACTAAATTTGTGTGTATTATTTTGTACCAATTCAATTGATAACATTGACTCATTCAGCATGGTAATACTCATTAACTTCAAAATGTCAACCTCATCAGTACAACTCTTTATAAACTACACTAAAATCCAACAGCCACACGCATTTGGTAATTAACTATTGATTTTTGAAAATAAATTAACACTCAATACTCAGCAAGGTTTGATAATGGTTCTGTTAACACACATGGCTTAATGCACCGCTGAAACCTCAATTACATTTGGCTCTGTATAATAACTGAATTGATGCCGCATTCACACACGCATTTTATACAAACTATGAAATGAAATGACTTATCTTACCACATTTTGTTCACAATCATCGAGCCAGATACTGGATGACTTTTTATGATAATGCTTAAAATTACAAATCAGCATATAAAAAATGATAATGGCTTTGCCTGTCCACTTGAAGCTTACATTTATGTTTTTCCATTAATTTGTTTTTATTCTCAATGCCCATTTTTCACCCTGTATTTTTACACAGTGCTGACTTGATTGGCCCTTTTAGGGTCTTCTGACGGGCAACTTTCATTAAAAAACACAAACACTGACTACACAGCTTTAACAGTGCTACACCTTCGCCTGTGCCAAGTCACCTGATTTATCTGTGCAACATAAGGAGGCTTCCAACCATGACCTTAACCCATGTCTGAATTCCACAGGAAATCTAGGATCACCTTACACACAAAATACAGATGCTGACATTCTAAAGGAAAATGTGCATGCAGAGATACAAACTCAACATGAAGACACTGTGATACTGATACAGATTGTATTTTCCAACTCCTTCAATTACTTCATGTTTCTTTTCCTTCTACCTTGGTCTTACTAACCATGACTGTACAAGTTTATCTTGAAAGGCTAGCTAGAAAATACACCGATATGATGTACATGTACACTGCATATAGGGGCATATAGTATAAAATAAAATCAAGTCTTTTTTTCCTTTCTGTTTCAATGACTCAATTTTCAATAAATCACACAAGTATCAGGCTATATTAGCCCATGAACTAAATTTTTTGAGCATTTTCCCACATACATCATCCATATGAAGATTTTAGTAAACCGGCTGCCATTCACTAAAACCAAGGACTGATCACTGACTGGGAAAGTGTGCATGCATAGAGGGCACAGTATTGGACATATTAAAGAGAAAGAATAATTTGCTGTGATACCCA